TGGAGTGCAATGACACGATCTCAATTTACTGCAACCTCTGCCTCCCGGATTCAAGCAATTCTCCTGCCTCAGCCTCCCAGATAGCTGGGATTACAGGTGCCCACCACCATGCCCAGCTAATTTTTGTATTTTTAGTAGAGACAGGGTTTCACCATGCTAGTCAAGCTGGGCGTGAACTCCTGACCTCAAGTGATCCGCCCACCTCAGCCTCCCAAAGTGCTGGGATTACAGGCATGAGCCACCGTGCCCGGCCTCATTTCACAAGTTAAGATAAAGATGTGCCCCTGTTGCTGGCTTATAACAGATACTCAATATATATACACTTTGGGAAGGTAGAAAAGGGAGGAGGAAGGCAAGCTAGAAATGGTTCCCCTAACACTCTTATTTGCTGTCTTTAATCATTTGTTGAACATTACAACTCACTGAGTGATGATCTTACACAAGCCTCTTAAAGTCCCTCAGCTTCCCATTTTAAAGCAAGAGAAATAGCATGGCAGTGGCTACCACAGAGTGTTGCTGAAAGGACTGAATGAGATCATGAATGTGAACCTGTGACAAGAGAAAGTATTTTACAAATGCTATTCTAATGATTCACATGAATTGCAGTGTTTGTCTGTTATGGAAGGGGTGTGTGTGTGTGTGTTTGTGTGTGTACATAAGTTTGTTTTGAACAGAATAAACTTGAAGAGCTACAGATCTTCCCTTACCAGCATCTGCCCTTAAAGTTGTGGCATTATGTTTGAACTATGTAAAATGATAAAAACTAGAGAGCAGAAAGCCCCCCAAAAACTGAGAGCTTGCATCTGACGTCGATAGACCCTTTGTGGCCGTTGGGACCTTGTTGCTTCTTGGGAAAAGGGTGTTCTTAGCTTGTTAAACCACTGCTGCGATAGAGTCCTTTGCTCCTGGATTTGAACTCTCGTCTAACTCACCAGTTCACAAGCAGCTTCTGAGTACCAGCAGAAACCAGACTGTAAAAGGTTGTTTTGTTGGGCAGGGGGGGGATAAAATAAAATGAAGCTTTCACCAAGAATGTCATTTTTCTGACCTTACTTGAATATATGAGTTGCAGGTCCTGCTGTATTTTTTTTGGTTTGTTTTGTAGGGATGGGAAGACAATTTTCGTTGGTGCTGAGGCCATTAGTATAATCCTTGTTTTTCCCATCAGATACTTTCAAAATAAAGAAATAAATTAAACAGTTAATACCCCTCTCCTCTTACCTCGCATTATTCCTCTCCATGCCTTTTTCTTAGAGAATGAATCATGGCCCCAAGCTGCCTCTGTGTGCCCCAGCATCCCTATTGAATGTCACCCCGCCAGTGCCTTCAGCTGTGTACCTCTCATGGTGGGACACGATTACTCCCCCAGATTCCAGCAGCTGACTTTCCTCTAGGAAATTTAGCCCCTTACTGTGGCTTTGTGCACAGTGAAAACTCCAAGCGTCAAAGCAGAATGGCTGGCTTTGTGAGCAGAGGTGTTGGCAGAAACCTGGCACAGTGTCCAGATGCCACACACAAGCAGCAGGCTGATGAGTTACTTATTGGCCCTCACATAGTATGTTGCATCTGAGGTGACACTTCATAAATGCGACCTCATTTATCTTCCCGATGCCCTTCAGAGGCAGGGAATCCCATAAAGTCCACCCAGGAAGAGTCTGTGGTTCTTAAGCAGCCTTCCCTCCAGCTGCTTCCTGAGCAGCAAGGAGGAGCCCATTGAGAGGTTTCACGTTTTATCTTATTCTGTAACTTCAGCTTTAAGGACTACATCCTATGTTTACCAGCACTGTGACTCATTCCACAGACATTTAGTGTTCCCTGTGCTAGGGACTGGGAGACTGACCTCAAAGCCGGTGCCCATGCCATTAAGCAGCCCGGAGAGAGCTGGAGAGCAGGGAGAAAGCTTTCTCTCCCAACTAGGGTGGGAGAGAAGGCTTCCTGGAGGAGATGTGGCTGGAACCACCTCAGGAAGGATGAGGAGGAGTCAGCAAGGGGAGGAAGAGGAAGAAGGGAGGCAGAGGAGGGCAGGTTAAGGGGAGGCTGGGGGCTGGGCAGGAAAGTGAGGCCGCATTAGGAGTCAGAGGCCATATCACAGAGGACCTTCCTCATCTGTCGTGTTGAGGAGTTTGGACTTGATCCTCAAGCTGAAGGACATCTTTCAAGATTTACGTGGCAAGGCTTTTACCTACTCCTTCACTGCCTTTTCTCCCTCTCTCCCCAACACCAAAAAAAAAAAAAATTATATATTTATAAACACTTTTTGTCTAGTCCAGTTGCTTAAAAGGCCTGACATTCTGTAATTTTTGCTGTATAGATGAGTGAACTATTTCTCTTTGGACTGTCTTGGTATGAATGGCCACATAGTGTGTAACTGGTAGATGGTTTCACGTTCCCCAGCAGTAGGGCAGAAAAAGCCATTTAATCAAGGCAGAACAAAGAAATTCCCACTTTCCTGACAGAGGGCCTGGGCTGTGAGACTTCCGTTCCTTGCCATTCCATTTTCCAGAGAAGAGTGGGATTCTAACACTGTGTTTCATTGTCCCAGCTTTGGGGCACTTCATGAATCAGAGATAAAATGGAATGGTTTTAACTGAAACAAGTGTAAAACAAAAGAAAGATGGATTTTGGGGACTGCTCAGAGAAGGAACAAAGGAGTCCGGGTTGCTGGAGCTGCGCATTTCGCATGCTTGTTTATAATTTAGATGCAGGGCTTTGGGGCGATCAGGTAATTCACAGTAAAGATCAGAGAAAATGTGCTCCGTGTATAGGATGTGAAGGAGGGAAAAGGCCCATTGCTTTGACAGCAGTTTCCTTGCTTCTGCATCACAAGGCAGAGCTCTCTGCATGAGCGCTTCCCCAGCCCTTCTTCACAGACCTCCTTCCACTCTGCAGGGAGTCGTCCTGAGCTGAGTGTGAGCCAGGGCACTCTCCGCCTTTCAGGGAGGTTCTGTTTTGTATGTCAAGCACTTACTAAGCTAACTAATGAAACTCTCCCACCAAGATTTTCTGGATATATTCGAAGTTATTCAGATTTTTTGAACCTGCTGAGAGCATAGTGTCAGATGTTTAGTCTTCTACTGTGGTTTGTCAGTGGGCACTGGACCTAGAATCAACCAGCTGTTCCAAGGAGTTGGGGCAGGCAGTGCATAGAGGACAATCACTTTTTAATGGTAGGGAAATTGGAAATAAGTGTGTCTGATTTCTAATATTCCAATCCCACACCCAAAGCTGATCCCTCCATATTATTGCACCGTCACTCAGATTCAGAAGTTCCCCCGCAACCTAAAGTAAATCTGAGTTTCTCTTGTCAGTGCTCCTTATTTTGAATATGAATAGGGTCTGTCATGTGAGTTTTGGTCCAGTACCCTGCCTCACTTCTGGCAGAAATAAAATCTGAAGAGGTGGCTTTTATTTGAAAAAGTTTAGATAGTCTAAGAGGAAGAGTATCGCAACTTAGGACATCTAAAAAAAATTGTCCTGGCAAACCAAGGGTTTTTATATCAAAAGCCAGACTTCTTATTCATTAGAGGATTCCATACTGATTTCATTTTGACAGGAGGCTCTTTAGTCTTTGGGTTGTTTTCCAGATAGTATGGGGCCAGCCTCACATCCAGGCAGATGAGACTGTGACCTAGGGGGGATTTCAGGCAAACTGAGGCTGGCCCCAATACTCCTTCCCACCTAACTCTTCCAACCCATCCCTACCTAAAATCCCACCTTTACAGCTTCAGCCATAGTTTAAGGCTTTGATGATGAAGTTGTAGGATGCAGACATCCACCAACAAGGGGAAAATGGCACAGATTAAAGAGAAGGAAGATGACTGGGCACTGTAGCTCATAGCTGTAATCCCAGCACTTTAGGAGGCTGAGGGAGGAGGACTGCTTGAGACCAGGAGTTTGATACCAGCCTGGACAACACAGACCCATCTCTACAAATATGTTTTTTAATTAGCCGTGCATGGTGGTGTGTACAAGTAGTCCCAGCCAATTGGGAGGCTAAGGCAGTAGGATCATTGGAGCCCAGGAGACTGAGGCTGCAGTGAGCTATGATTGCACTACTGTACTCTGATTGCACTACTGTACTCTAGCCTGGGTGACAGAGCAAGGCCCTGTCTCAAAAAATTTAAAAGAAAAATTAAAAATATATATGGAGGTGGCTGGGAGCGGTGGCTCATGCCTATAATCCCAACACTTTGGGAGGCTGAGGTGGGTGGATCACCTGAGGTCAGGAGTTCGAGATCAGTATGACCAACATGGTGAAACCCCGTCTACTAAAAATACAAAATTAGGCTGGGCGCGATGGCTCATGCCTGTAATCCCAGCACTTTGGGAGGCCGAGGCGGGCGGATCACCTGAGGTCGGGAGTTTGAGACCAGCCTGACCAACATGGAGAAACCCCGTCTCTACTAAAAATATAAAATTAGCTGGGCGTGGTGGTGCATGCCTGTAATTCCAGCTACTGGGGAGGCTGAGGCGGGAGAATCGCTTGAACCCGAGAGGCGGAGGTTGCGGTGAGCCAAGATTGTGCCATTGCACTCCAGCCTGGGCAACAAGAGCAAAACTGTCTCAAAAAAAAAAAAAAAGAAAAAAAAGAAAAAAAAAGAAAAAAACAAAAACAAAACCAAAAAACAATTAACTCCACATTTTATATAAAAGGAAACTGAGGCCCAGAGTGAGAAAAGATATTGCCCAAGGACACTCTGCTGGTCAGGCTGCCAGCTGCAGTGGGTCTGAAACTTGGTTTCCTGATGCCCAGAGAGAAGAGTGCCTTTCAGAGACAACAGGAACAATGAAGAATTTTTAGGGAGGCCAAATCACTTTTGAAATATGAAAACTGAAATGGCTGAAAAAAGAGAGAACATTTTCAAAATGGCTTTCTGACTCTGGGTAAACAGTAACCACATTTTTTTTGCCTGTTGGAGGTCTGGTTTTTAATCACTCCACAAGCAGTTTTCATTTCTGTAGTAAAATTGCTTGTGGTTCTATTTAATTTGTTTCTGCAGGAGCCAGCTTTGGTGAAGATCTCCGAGGAGCTGGCGGGCATTTTAGCACAGCACGCACAGCCAGTCAATGAGAAACGGTTCCCGACGTGGAGGAAATTCCTCCAAACATTTCTCAGTCAAGGTAAATAAGACTGTAAAGTTTCTATTGAGGATTAGTCTACACAACCTTGGATTCTAGTTTTGGGTCAACTGGGGCCAGTTTCAACACTTTGCATCTCCTGTGTTGGTTTAGAAAAGTGCTCCTATGGTTTTCTTTTTCAAATGTTGCCTAAATATTTATCTTACACCCAGCCTCTTAAGTAAATAGGAACCTGGCATGCCAAGCATGGTACGGGGAGCTCAAGATTCTGGGCCTGTTTTTACACCACAAACTTCTCCTGAGAGGTGGGCTTTGGAATCAGATTACCTGGGTCTGGACCCCATCCATGACTTTGAGCAAGGTTCTTAAACCCACCAAGGCCTGGTTTCCTCACTTATTTACCTTACAGGGTCATTGGGTGGATTCAATGAAATACAGATATGAAAGTTTCTACCACAGAACCTTACACAAAATCGTCTTTAATAAGTGTTAGTTTCTCCTCCTGTTTTCTAGGAGAGCAGAAATGGTCTCACTTCCAGTCTGAATATAGCATTTCCAAACAAGGGTTTGCTAGAATCCAGGAACAAAGCGAGCCTCCATTCCTTTCAATCCTCCTCCTCCTCCTTCATCCTCATTTCCTAACAACATTGGGTGGTTGAGGGAATGAATGAGTGCATGATGCCTATCTACCGTCTCAGAGGTCCCTGTGAGGGTGCTACACAGAGGCACACCCACGCGACGGCCCTCACTCTCCAGGAGGTTACAGTGCAAGACATATTATATGCTTACCCACATGCACAAGAAGAGAGGGTTAGTATAACAGGCCACAGAAGGCATCTTCCCACTGCTATCAAGTGATAATAATAATCTCAGCAATAATCAATAATGATAAGATAATGTCATGTCAGATGATAACAGCAGCAGCAATAGCCCAGTGATGATAATAGCACAGTGATGATAAAACAGTGAGCTTAGACAGTGCTTATCATGGGCCAGGCACTCTTCTAAGTATATCTACGTTAACTTATTGAAGCTTCCTAACCATCCTATGAGGTGGGCACCATTATCACCCTCATTTTATAGAGGTGGAAAGCTGAAGTACAAAAGATTAACCCCAAGTCACTCTGCTAACACATAGAAGAGCCCATAAAAAGCGACCTCTGTGCTGCTCCAGGAGTCTTGAGCAGAGCCAGTGGTTACATTTATCAGGGCATATCGTAGCTCAATGTATGAGAGTGTATGAAAGAACAGATCTGTTGGTTGTTGGAATATACTGGCTGGGCAGGGTGTATTGGGCACCCTGTTAATGAATTATTTAAGCAAGGGGTTGAATGGCAGCCATCGAACAAGATTGCTGAAAAGAGGTTCTTTGCAGGGGACAGTTGTGCTAGACAACTTCCAATGTCCTTTCAACTCTAAAATTTTGTGATTCTATAAATTTCCACATGTACCCACTGATAGACAAGTCAAAGTAAGGAAAGTCAACCCCATGCATAAATGGAAGAAAATCAAGTGGCTACCGCACACACACACACACACACACACACGATCAATAATAAGGTGTTTTTTCTTTCTTTTTTTTTTTTTTTTTTTTTTTTTGAGATGGAGTTTCACTCTTGTTGCCCAGACTGGGATGCAGTGGTGCGATCTCGGCTCACTGCAACCTCCGCCTCCCAGGTTCAAGCGATTCTCCTACCTCAGCCTCCTGAGTAGCTGAGATTACAGGTGCATGCCACCATGCCCGGCTAATTTTTGTATTTTTAGTAGAGACAGGGTTTCACCATGTTGGCCAGGCTGGTCTTGAACTCCTGACCTCAGGTGATCTACCCGCCTCAGCCTCCCAAAGTGCTGGGATTACAGGCGTGAACCACTGCACCCAGCCTAATGAGGTGGGTTTTTTTTGTTTTGTTTTGTTTTTGTTTTTAAGTTATGGGGGGAAGACCATGATGATCTCCAGGCCCATCCAGGTCAGGGTGTTAGGAAATTTCCATATCTTCAAGCATCTGCCTCCAAAAGCCTCCCTCTAAACTATTTCTTTTCACATGAGCTTTGTAGATGAGAAAGGCTTTCCCAGCAACTATCTCATCTGAGCTGTATAAACACAAGCTAAGGCTTCACCTCCACCTCCTGTTCATCTTTATCCTGCTTTCTCAGCCATGCTTATTTATGGAGAGCAGTACAAGCTTTATTAATTTAATTTTCTTCATGAAGAGACTGAAGCTCAGAGATAGGAGGGGATTCTTGGGCAAAATCACACAACAAATAAGTGGTAAATGGAACACAAAGTTAGATCCTACAATTTTAGCACATTTAAAAACCTAGTTCTTGAAAGTCATGTGTTTTCAAAGCTTCTGCCTTTCTGTCAACCCAGTGCATACAGCAGGCCCTGTATCAATGGTCCCTGACTGAGCCAGGGTGTCTCCCAGGTTTCCCGACTCTAAGGTCACCATCTCCCTCCCTCCAGCTTCCACCATTGCCTGTTTCATTCCATTTATGTTCTCTCCGGTGTACTTATGGCCACAAAATGTGCTAGGGATTGGATTTCTAAATTGTCATAGGATTATGTCAAAAGCAATACTTTTTCATTTTCATTTTTATTTTTTGAGATAGGGTCTCACTCCATCACCCAGACTGGAGTGCAGTGGCACAATTATAGCTCACTGCAGCCTCGACCTCCCAGGCTCAGGGAATACTCCCATCTCAGCCTTCTGAGTAGCTGGGACTACAGGCGCACACCACCATGCCCAGCTAATTTATCATTTACAGTTTACGATTTTTTTGTAGAGACAGGGTCTCACTTTGTGGCAATACCTTTTTCAGAAGAGGAATTAATTGCTCTGAGTGGAAGAAAATAACAGTGAAAAGGTTATGGTCACGATGCTGAGAAGATAGTACAAATAAGCTACTTTGAAATAAAATACCCAAGTAATCTTGTAACTTATGAATGATAGTGTGTTTCCACGGAAGCACTGTCTTTCAAAACATAGGTGACAGCTAAAGCCACAAAGTTAACCAAAGCACAGAGAGTCACTAGGTTTTTTATTTTTGTACATTTTTGTCATTGTTGTTTTGCTGCATTTATCTTGCTAAATCCCCAGCAACTGGTGTTTAGGTATAGCACACACGACTAGGCCTCGTTTGAAGAAAAGAATGTCTCAAACCAAATAGAAAAATTAGGGTTTTAATATGTACCTTCCAGACTCGATTTTCCTTTTGAAACTTGGTGTTTGTTAGGACTACCTCTGACCAGATTTATAGACACGTGAGGAAAGTGCTTTTTGGATGAAGTAACAGATGACTGCATTTGAAAACTGCTCATTTTTTTTATTTGTATGCTGTTTGCTTACACCTATAGGGAGATGTCACACTTCTCCCAGCCCCCAGCAAATTTGTAAAATACAGGCCAAGTTTCTCTTAGTGCTGTCAGGTTCTAGATGGCACCCTATCTATGGAACACTTTGTTGTTTTTACTTTTAAATTATCTAACTCTTTACAAATAATATCTTAAATTTTTTCTCTACAAAGAGGCCATATACAGTAAGATTTGTAAGTTGGGCCTATAAACAGAAGATTGGGGCTATGTAATTTTTGTGGACACCACTGAGATAGGCCACAAATTAGCCAGAAAAATGTTGTTGCGGTGCTTGAACATCAGACTTGCCTCTTTGATTTTTGGCATTCAAAGCAAAAGGTAAAATGTAATAAATTATAAAGCTCTCATTATTGGTAGAGCGAGCACATGCGTTCTTCAAACACGGCAATATCTCTTGGTTCTATATTTTAAAAAATGTTTTATAACTGACTTTATATAGAAGTCCTTTGGCTGACGTGATGGTCAATGTTCTCTCTGCCCACAAAAAGCCCAAACCTGTCAAACCTTCAAAAAGCAGTGAAGTTTACGCAAAAGAGCACACTGGTCATCAAGATGCCAACTGCGGATGATGGGCAGTTAATTCCCCATGAGGGATTTGATCATAATTCTTGGGTTCACTGTTTATGAGTGGGCATAGACCCAGTGATCCTCACGGTGTCTTCAAATTATAATCAGAATCAAAACTACCATTCACTGAGTCCTACAATATACCAAGCATTGGGCTAAATACTATAGATAGATACAGTATCTCTAAGATTCACAACAATCTAAAGAGGTAGGCTTTATTATGCCTATATTACAGATAAAGAAAAATAAGTTCAGAGAATGTAAGCTACTTGCCCAAAGTCTCTCAAGACATGGCAGATGCAGAATCTGAGCCCAAGTCAAACAAAATGAATGTGTCCTTTCACCTGCTCCATGTTTTTCCCACCAGGGGGTGTGATCGAAGCATTCCCACCTGCAGATAGCATCACCAACCTGACAGTGGACATGCTGATAGAGCCCAACGGGAAAATCAGCGTGCTGTCAACAGGGGACCAGCTTCATGCCGACAGCCCCTTCATCTCCTCTGGTACCACCGTGCCTCAGACCTCAGTGGATCCCCAAGTTCTCACTTATTTGTGCCTCCAAATTGGAAAAGCCTGCAGAATGAGAGATGTGGTTGGTTACTTTTCTATAGATCTGGTGACTTTTATTGATCCAAGCACCTTGGAACAGCAGGTAAGTTGAATGGACGCCACTCGAAATGCTAAAATCTGTAATGACTCTGCACCCTACACACCAGTGCAACAGGGAATATGAAGGCTCTTCTCAAATGCACTGATTCTCTGATGAGCTCGCTCTAAATTCAACACCTGCATGGTCCAGGCAAATCCAAGTGAGACCAGGCTTTATGTCTGGAAATACAGGGCCAGGGTTGTCTCGTTCAGGTACAGTTGGAGTTAAAGAGTGACTGAGGCCAGGCGCAGTGGCTTAACACCTGTAATCTCAGCACTTTGGGAGGCCGAGGTGGGCAGATCCCTCAGAAGTTCGAGAGCAGCGTAGGCAACAGTGAGAAACCCTGTCTCTACTAAAGATACAAAAATTAGCTGGGCCTGGTGGTAATCACCTGTAATCTCAGCTACTCAGGAGGCTGAGGTAGGAGAATCGCTTGAACCCGGGAGGCGGAGGTTGCAATGAGCTGAGATCACGCTACTACATTCCAGCCTGGGTGACAGAGTGAAACTCCATCTCAAAAAAAAAAAAAACAAAAAAAAAAAAACTGAAGCATCCCTCACAGTTCACAGCTCACACATCCCTCACAGTTCACAGTGACAGTTCACAGTTCACAGTTCACAGTTCACATCCCTCACAGTTCACAGTGACTGAAGCGTCCCTCACAGTTCACAGCTCTGTTGATTAGGCCCTCAATTCTGTCCGTTAGTGTGATGCCTATGTATCATGAAACTATTTTATGCCATCCAGGGAGTGGAACCTGTCTACAGCCTGTTTTAAATAGAAAATCAATCACTAGAAAGGAGTTCTGTTCCTTTTCTTATCCGTAGTTCACCCACAACTTAGATTGTCTCATTTTTTTTTTCTTTAAAACACATATTGAGAGATATTTCAGAAATACAAATAATAATATAATCAATATTGTGTGCCCCTGCTCAGCTTAAGAAACAAAGTGGTGTCAATGCCACTTGCAGCCCTGTGTGCTCCTTGCCAAACACATCCTCCTAGAAGCCAGGAGGAAGCTCCTGTCTTATACCTGGGGTTTTGATTCCCTTTCGTATCTCTGTGCTTTCACCACACATGGATACATGCAAAAATAATGTAGAGTTTTATTTTGCATGTTTTTAAGTATTTTGTAGATCATAACATTCTATTATTATTTTACTTTACGCTTTTATTTAATATTCCATTTGTGAGATTCTTCATGTGCATAGGTATGGTGCTGAGATATAATATTCAGGAAAAATCACCTTTCACCTTTTTCACTTTGCTTTTCCCGCCTAAAAGCATAATGTTCAAGTTCACTACTATTTCACAGGACTCGTGTTTTAAAATGACCAGTGGCTCCTCTCTTAGTGCTGCGTGTCCAGACCTCTGTCTAAAGGGCAAAATGACCTCCTGGCCTCCCTCTCTCGATATCCTCTGGTCGTCTGCATTGTACATATACTTTAGTTGTTTTAGGATCATTATTCTCAGTTTTACAGTTCTCCATTTCAGTCAGATGATGGTTTCAAAGTGAGAGTTTATGTATTTTGGCAGATTTCAGCTTGTTCAATAATCATTTTCCATTTGCCTTCCTGGGCCCTCCATTGGTTTTACATTCTGTTCTCAGGCCTGTACCTTGACAGGGAAAAGGACAAACTGAAGGTCATTCGGAACTCTCCCTGTGGTGGAGGCAGGACAGAAACAACGCTCCCTGGCGAAATCTGGATGGCAAGGATGCAGGAGGAGGAGAGCGAGGGGAGGCTGCCCTCCCCAAATATTTGTCGTAAGAAAGAAAGATTGGCTGGGTGTGGTGGCTCATGCCTGTAATCCCAGCACTTTGGGAGACCGAGGCAGGTGGATCACTTGACCCCAGGAGTTCAGGACCAGCCTGAGCAACATAATGGGACCCCATGTCTACAAAAAATACAAAAAACTAGCCGGGCATAGTGGCAGGTACCTGTAGTTCCAGCTATTCAGGAGGCTGAGTGGGAGGATCACGTGATCCCAGTTCACCATAGTCTCAACCTCCCACCTCCACTGCAATAAGCCAGGATCGCATCACTGCACTCCAGTCTGGGTGACAGAGTAAGAACCTGTCTCAAAAAAAAGAAGAAAAAAAGGCTGGGCACGGTAGCTCATGCCTATAATACCAGCACTTTGGAAGACCCAGGCGGGTGGATTGCTTGAGGTCATGCCACTGCACTCCAGCCCGGGTGACAGAGCGAGATTTCATCTCAAAAAAAAAAAAAAAAAAAAGAAAAAGAAAAAGAAAAGAAAAAGAAAGAAGGAGAGTGAGAAAGAGAAAGCTAAAACTGTGGTCCCTGGGACAATAGGAAGGATGGAACTATGGGGACAGTTGCCTTGCGGCTTTTATTTATTTGAATTTGGTATAAGGAAACTTGCACACAGCAGTCAAAAGGATCTTCTCCAAACACGATGCTGGTCCTTCCTTGGGCTCACCACCCTTCTGGGCTTCTGGCTGACAGGTCCCACCCTTCACTTGGCTGGTTCCATGTACCTGGCCAGTCTTGTCTCACCCTAACTTGCCCTCTGTTTTGGTCTGGTCCACCCACACACCCTGTCTCATTCCCTCTTACTCATGATATTCCCTCTACCACAGGGCCTTTACACATGCCACTATTCCACCTTAAATGCGCTTGTCTTTTCTTTTGACCTAGTTAGCCACTTTTCCAGCCATTACATTTCAGCTCAAGACACATACATTGGAGCCCTTCCTGACCTTCCTGACAAAGTCAGATTCCCCTTTTTTAGGTTTTCATATCATTGTGTAGTTGTGTGTGAGCATTCCTCGTACCACTTATCTCAGTTACAACTTTAAACTTATCTACATGACTATCTGATTAATAGTTTTTCTCCTCCTATCAATTGTAAGCTCTTTTAAGCGACGTGCTGTGTTTCTTTTTGCTCCCCCACTGTATTCTCAGCACTTACTTCTGTCCTGGCACAAAGTAAGTATTCAGTAAATATTTGTTGAATGAATGAATGAACAATGGAGGTGTTCTAGCAAATGCCGAATGGTGTTGTTAAGGCTTTTGAAGAAGGAGCTCAGACATTCATTGGATGAATGGGATAGACAGATATTAGATTCTCTGATTGTATCATACTATGAATTCTCCTTGTCCCTTCCCATAAATACTTCAGTATATGATCATTTGTGTTACAGTTATCAACAGAATATTGGAAGAAGTTCTCAGTGACCACACCAAAGGGTGTTTCTACATTAGCAAGAGAAGTATGTTTGTTCTCTGTATATAATAAATTATTTACAAATCACTGGCATATTTTCTAGCCATTTTGCAAGTGGTATCACTTCAGAAACACCTTGATTTTTTTCTAATTGACATGCCTTGTGATGCCAGTGAAGCAACTGGCAGGCATATTATCAACCCTCATTTATTGTCAGTCTAACAGGTTAAAAAAATTTTGTTTTATTCAGAATTTCTTTGATTATTAGTGAAGATCCACACCTCTTCATATGTTTGTTTGCCCATTTATGTATCTTTTCTTAATTGCTTAATCATGTGTTTTGCCCCATTTAAATTGGACTATAATACAAATGTTGATTTGTTGGAGCTCTTTGTATATTGGAAACTCATTATTTGACTATTATGCATCTTGTAAATACGTTCTCTCAGATTGTCATTTGTGGCTTACCTCTCTCTCTTTTTATTTTTGGCCATGTTTCTCCACCATAAAAATTACCATTTCTGGCCAGGCGCAGTGGCTCACACCTGTCATCCCAGCACTTTGGGTGACTGAGGCAGGTGGATCAAGAGGTCAGGAGTTCGAGACCAGCCTGGCCAATATGGTGAAACCCCATCTCTACTAAAAATACAAAAATTAGCTGGGCATGGTGGCACGTGCCTGTAGTCCCAGCTGCCCGGGAGGCTGAGGCAGGAGAATTGCTTGAACCCCATAGGTGGAGGTTGCAGTGAGCCAAGATCACACCACTGCACTCCAACCTGGGTGACAGAGCAAGACTCTGTCTCAAAAAAAAAAAAAAAAAAAAAATTACTATTTCCTCCCTTGTAATTGATTAGTAATCTTTTGTAGAAATGTGTTCCAAGAGTACCACAATAGTATATTGCTTATCACATTCCACCCAGAAAACTTAGCATCCATTGGCAACTTTTTCCACTACCACTATGATAATGGTAATTTTGTATTTCTGTGGAAAATTTTCTGGTACAATTTTGTGTAGAAATTTCTGGCAATTGCTGGGCGCAGTGGCTCACGCCTATAATCCTAGCACTTTGGGAGGCCGAGGTGGGTAGATCACAAGGTCAGGAGTTCGAGACCAGCCTGACCAACATGGTGAAACCCCGTCTCTACTAAAAATACAAAAATTAGCCGGGCATGGTGGCACGCGCCTGTAATCCCAGCTACTTAGAAGGCTGAGGCAGGATAATCTCTCGAACCTGGGAGGCGGAGGTTGCAGTGAGCTGAGATCGCGCCACTGTACTCTAGCCTGTATGACAGAGCAAGACTCCGTCCCAAAAGAAAAAAAAAGAAAGAAAGAAATTTCTGGCAATCCACTGCAGGAAACAATATTCTTCTCCACCTCTCATTTATGCCTGTAGGTCTGTATGTATATATGTCAGTTTGAACTCATGGGTTTCTATTTTATTTACTGGGTTGTATTTTGATACTTTCATTGTTTTGATGCTCAGTTGTTCCAGATTTGGCCAGTGGGAGACCCTTCAGGGTGTGTCTTGTGTCCTTTTGACATGTCCTCCTCATTCTTTGAGCATGTCTTATTTTCTGACACAATAAGATGTTCCAGGTTCATTTTCTGTTTTCCTTGCCCTGGACCTGGGATCGACTCAGAAGCCCTGTAAGATCTGGGCTCTTAGTGCTGCCATTGCTACTGGACTATCACTCCTTCTGACACCTCTCAGTGGACAGAGCTAGCAAGTACATGTATTACGTATGTACAATACATACACACAATTATACACACATATGTGCATATAAACACACATATGTACCTATACATATAT